TGATGCCCCTGATACAAATTTCTGGCATTTAATCCAAAATGAGCATATAGCCCCTAAAAATAGTCTCAGTTAGTACATTGGTTTGCTGACTTTTTACATTTTCTTTTGGTTTAAACTGGGTTCTACTTGAGGCTGGGGTTCAAACCACAAAATAAACATCTATGAGATGTGACGTTTTTGGCAGGATAAGATTGGTATTATTCTAAATATATAACATATGAAACCGCTTATGAGCTGTCTTATGAGATCAATGCAGATTCTGGATCTGAAAATGAAGGCCATTTAACCATGCAGTCTTGATAAAAACCAGCGTGGAGCAACACATCTGGTTGCAAATGGGAGGCCTGATTGTATGGAAGTAAACAGTCGTTGGCTCCTTTGGTCTGTGATCTCATGAATTTACAGGCTGACCATTTTCCAGACAAATTTATGGGGTTTTTTTTACACAGCATGATCTTTATATGTCAGCTATGATCTCTGTCAGTGTCAAACAGGTAAATAAAACAGGGAACAAATTAGGGTGGGCTCACTTTATAACAGATGACCTGTTACTGCATGAGGATGTAGTGTCAGTTTACATATTTATGTCAGATTTAACACATTTTCATGACCTTTGGTTTCAAAAAAGCTAAGATTGAACTGTGATGACACTCAGAGTAGTATATCCGTGGTCTATTATATGAAGCTGTATCCACGTGGCTTCAATCAGCATACCTGAAGGCACCAGCCCAGAAGTAATGTCTTTCCAATGTATTTTTGTCCATTTTAAGCATTTAAAACATTTTAGTGAGCTAATTAGTGATTTAGAGACATTTTATTCATAAATCTGGGGCTTTTCATCCTTTTATTAGACAGCCAAAAATGGAGAGATGATAGGAAGTGAACGGGCAACTGAAAGGGGAACACAGGAAACAGTGTAAAAATTAAGTGACTTGTCAGAATTTGGAAACAAAGTACTTAAAATTGTCCTTTAGGACTGGGGCCTTTAAATAAACTTGTTGAAAATGACATTTCACTTCAGTAAAGTTCTGTATGTGTGTATATTCAGTACAGTGGGGGTGTAATCAGGTAGGCAAGACTCCGGGTGGGCAGGTTACACATACACACCTACATACCTGAAGCATTTATTCAGCAGCGTTTCATGTGAAGCCTACTCATCATCGTCCTCTCAGGCTTTTTCTCTCAGCTTTAGATCCACGTCTGTGATTCATCAGCAAGCGCGGCGCTCTGACATTCAGTCTGTGCGCCGCCCACTCCCACACACCTCCGAAAAGGCTTGTAGTGCACAGTCAGAGTGGATTCAGTCCATTCAAAAAAAAAACAAAAAACCAAAAAACAGTGTGAAGTGAACAAAAGCAATTCGGGCTATTTCAGACTCGTCAATACATCAGCTTTGTCGGAGAGAATGGTTCAAGGTTAGAGATGGGAACATTTAATGTCTCCCTATCTATCTGATGCTTTGTCCTTAGCTGAATGAGCTTCGATCACCTTCAGAACAATAGCAGAGCAAGGTCATGGTGTGCCTGTACTTTTCATACATGCTAGAAGCCACAGAGTGGGGGGGGGG